TGCAAAAGATAAAACAAACAAAAATATGTTATTCAGTGAAGTGTAACTATATACACTATTTGTATTGTTCGGACTGTTGTCCTCGTCTTTATTGCCACATTCACGACGTTTCGGTAGTTGTACGCTCCGGCCTTCTTAAGGCGTTATTTGCTGGAATTTCGAACTGAATTCATTATTTAGCCTATGACGGTAGATTCTTCTACTTCCACGCACGATATTTCTCAGTTGTAATTAATTCGACTTGATCCAAATAATTGTGAGTTCAATCCCTGGCCTCAGCGGAGAGAACAAAAACTTGGAGAGTTATCAGGACGAATTAACTGAAACTAAGATATCCAAAGGCATGGTATGTGGAATTAGAACAACATACCCCTGTGGACTAAATAAAGGGTTCGGTTTGAAATTCCAACAAATATCACCTGAAGAAGGCCGGAAACGTCGTGATGTGGAGAACAGTTCAAACAATGTAAATAGTTAGAATATCTCATCTCAGAAATGTAGAGAGATGTCAGTAAAGTTATTATCCTTACTAGCTGTATCCTGCTTCACAGATTTCCCATGTTTTTAATTTTCTGATGACTCATAATTCTTAAATACATCCCATCCACTTTCTACGCCCATTTTACATCGTTAAATATTTGACCTTATCAGCTTTAACACAATATTGGATTAACAATTATGAACGCAATTCCTTACTTGAAGAAATAAAAGGGTACAAACAAAAAGATTCTAAATTGACAAGGCTTCACTCTTTATTTACGTAGTCTTCTATCCCGCCTCTCTTCACTCAATTTGGGGTGTTAACGTCTTCTGCTGGTCAAGCAGAATGCTTTGCTTGTAAATTCTCTCCAAATTCTACTCTTCTCATCTGAACTATCTTTGCCTGACTTTCCACTTAGAATTGAGTTTCTGTTGTGTGATATGTATATAACTCCTTCCATGGTTTCTGCTATCGTCTCTAAACTGGAATTCTACAAAACATGTAGACCTGATGCTCTCCCTGAAATAGTCCATAAGAAATGTGATCCTGAATTGGCGCCTGATCCCTCTAAACTATACAATACATACTTTGCTGATTCCTGCTTGTTGGAAATGCTCATCTGTAGTTCCAATCTTTAATAACTCAGGCAAACTGTCTGATCCTTCTTCTAATTATCGACACCCCCTTCTACTTACTTCTGGTAATGTACTAGAGGCCCTAATCAACTCGGATTCGGTTAAGCATCTCCCATCGCAGGATCTTCTTTCAGATAAGCAATATGGCTTTCGCTTCTCTAGGTCAACTGCTGATGTATTAACGATTATTGTTGAAAGAGTCTATGAAGCTTTAGGTAAGAATGGTGAAGCTCGGGTTGTTTCTTTTGATATCACGAAGGCATTTGGCAAGGCTTGACATAATGGTCTTTCTCATAAATTGAAATGTTTTGTTATTTTTGGGCGAATTTTTGAACTGATCGGTCTTTCTTATCTAATTATTAAATGAACGTTATCTTGAATGGCCACTCTTCTAGATCTTATTGAATTCATGCAGGTGTTTTCCCCAGAACTCTGTACTTGGACCTAAATTGTTTTTAATTTTCATTAACGACCTTCCTGATGTCACTCGTTCTCAAATTAGTATCTATGCTGATGATACAGCTATTTACTCTTGCCTTAATGACTGACAATTTGACCTTATCGATTTGATAAGGTCAAATTGGTAGCTGATCTAAAAAATGAGCTGCGACCTGTTGTTAACTGGGCAAGAAATGGCTAGTTAATTTTAACGCATCCAAAATGAAACTGCTCTCTTTTAATCATCTTAGAGAACTTTTTTTTTATTTGCTTCCAACTGCTTGGCTAATGCTAACCTTCAGGAGATTGATTCATTGCAACTTGTCGAGCTAACGTTTTCTGCTGACATGTAGTAGAAAGATTATATTGAATCAATTGTTCGGTTTGATGATAGGAACCTTGGTTCACTATGCTGTGCGAGACAATTTTTCTCGCTAGAATCTATCTTACACATTTATAAATCTATTATTCATTCAGGCATTGAATATTGCTGCCACATCTGGTCTGGTATTTCTGCTATAAGTTAGAGATTCTTGATAAAAAAAAAAACAAACAAATAAAGAAGAAGCTGCAATTTTATCGGTCCTGACCTGGCAACTCATTTTCAGTCACTTTTCCGCCGCCGTAACGTCGCTTTTTTTGTGCCTTGTCTATAAATAATTTAGTGGCAATTGTTCTGTCTTACTTTCGTCTTTGGTACCTAGACTTTATGAATTTACGCGCAGTACTAGATTGGCAGCTAGGTCTCATTATTTTACAGTTGAAATGGCTAGATGTAATCGTAAGTTCTATGCCAACAGTTTCTTCTCTTGCTTTTCTCGCTTGTGGCACTCTCTTCCAGCCTCTTGTTTTCCAGTAAATTTGATCTTCAAAAATTTAAATGCAATGCTGATCGTTATCTTCTCTCTTCTTAATTTTTGTTCTTTTATTGTTCCCTATCCTTAATAATGTCGTCCTTTTTTCATATTCCTCAAATCAAGTAATCAGCAATGAACAAGAACCGTAACTTCTATTCTAGTAATTTCTTCTCTCGCACTTCTCGCTTGTGGAACTCTTTTCCGGTTTCTTGCTTTCCAGCCAATATTGACCTTCAAAGATTTAAATGCAATGTCAATACTTATCTTCTGTCTTCTCAATTCTTGTTCTTTTATTGTTCTCTCTCCTTCATATTTCTTTCTTTTTCGCATATTCTTTTTACACTCTAAGACGATTAATAGATATTTTTAGTTTTGATCTGTACGAATGAATGCTACCCCGCCCCACCACTACCGAAATTTATAGACACATAGTACAGAAGCATGCTTGGATTTCTTCCGAGCCAACAAGATAGACCACTTTTCGGTGTTATCCGACATATTTGTATTCTTTCTTGTCTTGAAGTCACAACGCTACGGTGACTTATCTGTACCTCTTGTTATCATCATTTTTGTTAACTTTTTTGACTTATTACTGTTGCTTTGCCTACTTTTGTCTTGCATATATATATATATATATATATATATATATATATATATATATATATATATTACTAATGTATATTTGGGCAGCAACCTTTTTTTAAACATGTTTCGTTGAATATGAGAGAGAAATTTTGATTAATTTTTTATTTAGTTTTTCTAACATTCTTACATTTTTCCGTTTGGTTAAAATTAAGGGAGTGTAAAACCTGTCCGTATTGTCCTTTGTTCCAAGGGCTTTCGGCCACTTCTTTAGCCATTTTCAAGAGAGTTTGTTTTGGGGTATTGTTAATTTCTCTTGATGGGTGACTGTTTAAGGTGTATTCTTGTGTTATACGGACTATTTTTGCACTCCTTACTCCTACCAAAAGAACAAAAAAAATGTAAGAATATTGGAAAAACTGAACAAAAAATTAATAAAATTTTCCTTGTCTGTCATATCAAGTATATATATATATATATATATTTAAATAGGTTTGAAACGGTACAAAAGCGTATTAAGGCATTAAAAACTAGAAATGTAGTATTGTAGGCCATGATAAGTTTAAAATAAAACACACGCCAGTCGACCGGTTTCGTCCCCTCTCGTCAGAACTGTTAACGGGGAATTTAGATTATGAAGAAAAGAAAAAGTCTGTCATGGGTGACATGAATTTTTTTTTATTTTTTTATTTATTATATATATATATATTTTTTTTTCATTCCCTGTCCATTCATTCATGTCACCCATGACAGACTTTTTCTTTTCCTCATAATCTAAATTCCCCGTTAACAGTTCTGACGAGAGGGGACGAAACCGGTCGACTGGTGTGTGTTTTATTTTAAACTTATCATGGCCTACAATACTACATTTCTAGTTTTAATGCCTTAATATATATATATATATATATATATATATATATATATATATATATATATATATATATATATAAAGAAAGAACAGTAAGATATATAATCCGGTGTTCTTATAGATATTTTTATTTTTACAAAATAGTGCTCAATGTAAATTTACAGAGCATTAATATTATAAATTAATTGATTTATAATATGTTTATTAGTTCCAAGCGAATTTTGGAGTAACTTTTAAAATTACTGGGTTTTAAAGACACATTTAAAATCATAATTCATGTTTCCAAGGTTACAGATGAATCCATTTTACCAGACGAGGGGTGTCTGGGTGTTCATTACTCCAAAATTCGCTTGAGGATGAAATGGAATTAATGTCTTTAATTTAATTACAAAATTAAATTCGGGGCTTTTTAGCTTCCATTTTTGAAACATGGTTAGAACTGTGTAGCGGAAAAACATTTTAAATCAATTAATTTATAATATATATATATATATATATATATATATATATATATATATATATATATATATATATATTGTCTGCTGAAGATTACTTTTAGACTGTTCTTTTGTTTCTTTTCTTGTTGTTTATTACAAACTTTGGCAATTCTGTTTGTTGGGCATTTCTGCCAATTACATTTAACCATAGCTAATTAGTCGATAGTAACCCCTTGTGCCTTAGTGGCTTTATTTTTTTGCTTGGGGTGAAATGTTTAAGAAAATGACCTTAACACTCCTTAAGCTACATTAAATATTGAGACAAATCCTCACAAACCGGAACAACATCAGCTAAACCGGAACGTATGTTAAACTTAGTTATTCCTATTAGCAATTCTAACTGGGACCAATTCATTCGTTCTATCATGATGTGCTGAATATTTTTTTTGATATTCTTAGAAAAGCATTCGATCTTGTAACCTGGAGTGAAACGATGGAAATTTAAGCCAGTCGAATATCGGATAATTGCCTTTAATTATTCCTTGCCCTGACCTTCATCTGACTAAATAAACAGTAATAGCTGTCCATTCTCATTTTTCTCTTCTCTATGTCTGTTTGACTTTCTGTCTTTTTTGGTTGTTACTGTTGTGTAATCTGTTGGTCGTTATAAGGTCAAGTTAATCGAGAATTGTTACAGTTACAATGAACTACTTCGCTGCCAGTTTTTCTGTTTCTTCCTCTTTGTCTTTCTTTTATTCTCGGTTTTTGTTGACTCACTCTCTCTTTTTTTCTCTCTCTCTCTCTCTCTCTTTGGTTGACATTCACTCTTTTTACTTGTCCGATTCTCATTTTCTTTTTCTTCTCACACTACCCTCACTCAATTGAATTTTTCCCTCTTTTTTTTTTTTTTTAATCTCGGGCACTATAACCATTCCATCTCTTCTGTTGGAGTGTAATAGAGTGTGTCAGATTGGGCGGATATACCACTTATGCCCGGATGTGTAAAAAGAAAGAAAGAAAGAGAATAAAAAAGAAAGATGACATTAGTATTGTGAGTCACGTGTCCTGTAGAAGAAATAGTCACGTGTTATAGACGAACGAGTGACAAACTCTGCTCATATCCGGCATCTTTCCATTTTTTTTTTAACAAAGGACAGGAAAGGGTGAATTTTTAGAGTTTCAATTTATATATATATATATATATATATATATATATATATATATATATATATATATATATATATATATATATATATTATATCCAACGTCGATGACATATATACGTGTGTGTGTGTATCCACAAGGACACATGAATATATAAGGGTGTGTGGTGTGGTGTGTCTGTGTGGAAAAATGTAACTTACCACCTTTATTAGTGAGTTATTAGTAATTGCACACACACTCACATACGCACACACACTCACATACGCACAAGTACGCACGTTTTTAAGTACGTACATGTACACATGCACCTGTTTTCAAGTGTTCCTTTGTTTAATATAACTTCCGTGAGCATTTTTGAATCTGTTTAAAATATTCTGTTTGGTCAAATCTACGTTGAAAAGACCAGTTTTAAAGAGAAACCTAAATAAATCCACTATCTTATATCTATGTTATTCAAAATCATTTCTTTCTTTCTTTCTTTCTTTCTTTCTTTCTTTCTTTCTTTCTTTCTTTCTTCTAATTTTGTTACACTTCTATTTCTTTCTTTGTTTCTTTCTTCTAATTTTGTCTCACTTTTCTTTCTTTCTTTCTTTCTCTAATTTTATCATACTTCTCTTTTCATCTATCGCTTTCTTTCTTTCTTTCTTTCTTTTTCTTTCTTTCTTTCTTTCATTCTTTCTTTCTTTCTTTCTTATGATGAGAATGTAGACGATATTTTAAATTGTCTGTTTCAGTGAAATAAACAATAGAACCCGTAATGCTTTTTCTTGGATCTTCCCTTAACAGCAATAACCTATCTCTTTTTTGTAATTCCATGTTACTACTTTGAGAAAAACGTTAGGAACCAACTCGAAACACTAAAAATAAATAAATAAATGAAAAAAATAAAATAAAATAAAAACAAACAAATAAACCAATAAAAGAAATCTAAAATAAAAGAAAAAAATATTATCATGAAATATAATTTATAACTTGAATTCTTCACACGTCGTATGAGAGTAAAAGTCAAGTATAAGTAATTTTTTGCTTCAGGCTGGTTTCAATATTAACCCATAACTGCGAATGACGGAAATTTCTGCTGTAGTTAATGTAGCAAGCAGTTAATTTGCCGACATATAATATAAAGAATCAGCACACTTTGGTGTAATATATTTTAAAATTTCTGGTAGGCGCAATTTTCATATTGTACCTATTTATTTCAGGCCTTGCCATTACCTCGGATAAATAATGTACCATTCTGAAAGTAGAATCTGTGAGCAGAGTTCAAAATTTGACCAAATCTGTTACGTTCATATAATACCCTTCGAAAAGGCATGAATCTCCCTTTCCCCTATGAACTAAATAACAGGACAGGCTGAGCTTTCCGGCCTTAGGTGACAACCAGTCTAGTCTGACTTTAAAACAGAAAACCACTTCCCTATATTTACTAAGAAGTTAAAGCGATTAATAGTGTAATCATACGGTCTGGCCTTTCAATCTTTCACTGGCCGCTCAGTGTCTGCGCCACTCCCTGGTTCGATTTACCTTAGCGTCGGTATGAACAAAATCTTGGTAATGCCCGGTGTACGTTCAAAAGAAACTGAAATTAAAATATCGACACGGTCAGGAAAGTTAACTTGAATTTTTTTCTATATCGTATTTTGTTAATTCCTGTATCCTACTGGAACTGTCTGGAGCTAGATAAATGAAATTAGGCATCTACACTTCTATTTTTATCTTCTCTCAAGCCAGACAAACAGACCATCTTCCCACCCATTTGCCAGCGAAAAATTCGACTGCTTTTCTGCCATCTCCGATTGCGACTGTCAATCTTACTGCCTCTCTATACATCTCGATAGATGGCTTACAACTTTTCTTAGCTAGAATACGGTCAAACTATATAAACCGGTAACCGGAATTTTTTACCTTCCGGACAAGTGTCACTTTATCCCGAAAATTAAAAAAATTTGTTTTCATTTATACAATTTATTTCTTTTCCCCTACTTATGGACATCGTGTAGTTACTTTGAAACTCTCGCATCTCGATTTTACTGGCAACGCAGTCATAAAGCAAAAATCTCTTTAGACTTAGATAAAATCATTTAGAGTTCACTTGACTACACGGTTTTACTAACGAAACTAGATTTGAGCAAAATGTTCAGTAGGTTAAATTTGGCGAATGTGCAAATATTCAAATACAGTAGTTTTGAGTTTCTTTTAACCAATCACTGATAACTTGTTCGATCTTTAGGTTTGACATTTTTCCCGAGTGAGTGAAGCAGGTCGTCTAAAAATAAATCTGTTCAACTTGTCATTCATTGCATAGTAGTCAAAAGACGTTAACAAAATCGAGAAATTAAAACCAAAAGAAGAGAAAAGTAAAAACAGACTTTGTTAATAGGAGTGGTTAAATGTACTATTTATATGATTGTTATTTGTAGTTATTATGGTGAGTAATTGAATGAAAAAGTGGCAAAAAAAAAATCATATTTGACGCCTTTCGTCCTTCAAAATGACTTCTTTAAACGCAATAATGATTATTGAAGGTAGAATATATACGTAGGGGAAGGGAATGAAATACAAACAAACTTCGATTATAATTACACATCGAGAAAAACGCTGAAAATGCATGAACGCTTAGCTTTAAATTTCAAAATTTTGACATCGGATTCACAACCGAGCCGCCGTCATTTAACTTCCTACCGTTTCTGTTTTTCTTATTATCACTGTTGTTTTTAAACATCCGACACTGTAATAGCTGTAGCTTTGTTAAGAGAGGCGACATGCTATATGAACCTGGACGTAATTTTACCGGAGAACAGTCAGTAATAAGAACAGTTTCTATACCTATGTGCCTCAATTACTTCCTCTTTTAATTAAAACTGCATATTATAGTTAGACTTTTTATCGTAGTTATTATCAAAGTTTAAGCACCCAACTTTTAATCCAACTTTTAACCTAGTAATAATAGTGACACGATCCCGTTAATCATTACCAACCACTCCTGTTTTAATTGAAGTTCAGAACTTTTAAATAGTCTTTAGCTCTTGCTAATAAAGGCACGTCGCAACTTCATTTTTATTTTAAGACTTTTGCCGTCTCTGCAAAAGAAGTCAAGTAAATATATTATGTTGAGTCATAATTAATTTCCGTTTTTGGGACCGAATTGTAACAACGGATATATAGCCAAAAGATATGTCGCAATATGAGATGAAAGTGGGTTATATACGATAATGCTGAGCACAAAACGCAGTGTACTGACAAAGATAAATCTCTACAATCGATCAGAAAAGCTGAAATAAATGCTGATATATATATGAATATATATATATATATATGTATGTGTGTGTGTAAAATATTTCAGATATAACTAAAATATATCTATAAAAGAACAATATGAATAACGACAAAAGAAAAACTTGTTTAAGCAGACGCGTTTCGCCCAACAGAGAACGAAATGCCCCGGCTAAGATAAGTTTTCCTTTTGTCTTTATTCATATATATATATATAAATATATATATATGAATATAGACATTTTTTTATGTTTAACGTTCTTTTTTATAGATATGTTCTGTTTATAATAAACAGTATTAAATAACATTACCGGCCTGAATGTCCGAAAATTCTCATAGAAAATATTCGTCCTTTGACAGGATTCGAACCGGCATCCTATACGGAATCGTCATTTACGCTGACGTACTTTGACGGCTCGGCCACAAAGGATCATTCGGTTGGCAAGGTTGAATTTACTGCACGTAAATGACGGTTCCGTATAGGATGCAGGTTTGAATCCTGTCGAAGGGCGAATATTTTCTATGAAAATTTCTCGGACATTCAGGCCGGTAAATGTTATTTAATACTGTTTATTATAAACAGAGCATTTACTTAAATATTTGTATCTATAAAAAGAACGTTAAACATAAAAAATGCCTTTAATAAATAAATTGTCGGTCTTTGTCCATTTCTTAATATATATATATATATATATATATATATATATATATATATATATATATATATATATATATATACAGTTTCTTTTTGTTTTTTTTTTTTTTTTTTGAATGTGTAGGTCTGATGAATTGGATCGTATTTACGATTCCAATGGAATAAATTATGACCATGGAATATTAGCGTTTAAGCCTTTTTATTATATCCTTACTCTGTCCTGGACATTGAGTTCTACCTGGATTCTATCCTCTTGGAATTTTTTATACAAAATATATATGTATGTGTATGCATCTATGCATATATATTTATATATTTTGCATATGTATGTGTATATTTACCACTAGTATTATCTCTCTCTCTCTCTCTCTCTCTCTCTCTCTCTCTCTCTCTCTATATATATATATATATATATATAAACAAGATTTCTTTTCCATTAGTTTTCTCCATTTAGATTTTGTATTATTTTTCTAGTATTTAATTCCTTTTGCTTCCTATGATACTTTAAAATAATAATAATAATTCTTTGTGTCGTGTCTCGCCACAATTTCCTGTCATTTGTAGATATATATTTTTTGTAATCACTCCTAAACCTTGTTCCACCATCCATTTATTCAATCTCTCTAGATAGCTTATACATTGTTTACCTCCAGCCATCTTGCCTTTTATTTGTATTGAGAGTATCAAATTTTCCAAGCCCTCTTTTCTCATTATGTGCCCTAGAAACTTCAACTATCTATTCCTGATGTTAAGTAGAAATGTCCTTTTTGTTTCTGTTTTCTCTAAAACTTCATCATTGATCACATATTCGTTTTATGGTATGTAAAATCAGAATATGGATCATGTAGTCCAATAACTACGAAAACGGCTGTATAAAGATAAAGACCTTTAGAAGATATTCCGCTTGATAAAAAGGAAATCATCACTTGTTGTTTTATGAGAAATTATGCTTATGCCGAAGCTACAAATTAGGAATGAATCAAAGTTTGCTTCCTTAAACTTATCCTGTTCTGAATGTAGAAATGGCATTGCATTCGTTAGCTACAATGAGATATATTTGGGCACCTCGATGCGGTGTAATGGTTGTCAAGGTTGTCTCGCTAGAACAATTACGACTGAGTAGTGAGTTCGATTCTCACTGGGTGCCCCCTACTTTCAGCCTTGTGTCACATCTAAGCTACGCTTGGAAAATCATAGGGCACCTCGGCGTGGTGTAATGGTTAACAAGCTTGTCTTGCTAGATCAATTACTACTGAAAAGTGAGTTCGATCTTCACTGGATGCCCCCTGTTTTCGGCCTTGTGCCACATCTAAGCTACGCTTGGAAAATCTTTACAATGAGATATATTTGTTAAATAGGCTTCCTAACGCCAAATTCAAACATGTGGAAATAATGAAAATTAACGACCTCTACAGGTTTATTGTGGATGGACTCGAATGTCATACAGCATAAAAACAGCTCAGTGTCATACTTGAACAAACGATAGAGAAAGTTTTAAGAGACAAAAAAATGCAGTGGTTGATCAGGATGACATTTTCTTTCGTGCCTTCACTAAAGAACAATTAAATTCAAAATCTGACCTAGCCTTGAATAGGCTAGGAAGGGCAGGCATGACTATCAATGAAAAGAAATATATACATAAGTGTAAGAATATAGTTTCTTGGATAAACGATTTCAAAGGAAGATGTTTCGCTCCAACAAGTTTCAATAGAGGAAATGTACGAATAAAAATGCAATACTTTTCAAGATTATTCAATTTTTATAGAAGATATTTAT